TGTATATGACTAGATGTGGTTTTGCACATGCGCTGTAGCGTCTTTTTTGGCTTTGTAAGTGTTTCGTATCTGTATCTATTTGTGTATATGTGTATGGATGTGGTTTTGGTGTCAATTCCTCCAGTGGTTTTTGAGTTATGTTCATCCCACAAACGAACATTACATTTTTATTTATATAGATAGACTAGCTGTCCCCTGCCACGCGTTGCTGTGGCCCAGTCTTTATATGTTTGTGTGTCTATATATTTGTGTATATATGTGTGTTTGTGTATATATATGTGTTTTTGTGGTTTTTTTCTCCCGACACAGGAAGGGGGCGGGGCCAGTGGAGTCATTTTTGTGCATGTGCTGTACCTTGTTTTTATCGGGGTTTTTTTTGGCTTTTTAAGTCCCTTCTGCTGTGTTTTTCAGTGTTTTTATGAGCGATGGTCACTCGTTGGCCTGAGAGGGGTCTTGTGTCCAAATTTGGTGTCAATTCGTCCAGTGGTTTTTGAGTTATGGCAATCCCACAAACGAACATTACATTTTTATTTATATAGATAAGTAAAAAGCATCTAAGTAAAAAGCACTTTAAAGGAATAGGTAAATCCAATTAGGTAAGAAGATAAGCAGGAACATTGTAATGTATTTTCTTATTTTTGGCTTTTTAAGTCCCTTCTGCTGTGTTTTCAGTGTTTTTATGAGCGATGGTCACTCGTTGGCCTGAAACGTGTCTTGTGTCCAAATTTGGTGTCAATTCGTCCAGTGGTTTTTGAGTTATGGCAAACCCACAAACGAACATTACATTTTTATTTATATAGATAAGTAAAAAGCATCTAAGTAAAAAGCACTTTAAAGGAATAGGTAAATCCAATTAGGTAAGAAGATAAGCAGGAACATTGTAGTGTATTTTCTTATTTTTGGCTTTTTAAGTCCCTTCTGCTGTGTTTTTCGGTGTTTTTATGAGTGATGGTCACTTGTTGGCCTGATTGGTGTCTTGTGTCCAAATTTGGTGTCAATTCGTCCAGTGGTTTTTGAGTTATGCTAATCCCACAAACGAACATTGAGTATAGATTGTTGTTGTTGTTGTTAGTATGTATACACTTGAATCCCATCTAACTTTGGAAAGTAACCAGGTCGTGGATGGGGGACCCCCTCCCAACAATTCTCATGATATTTATTTCCATCCTGTCTTTCGAAAGAAATAAAAATCTGCAAACAATGCTCAAGATGGTGCGCGACAGAAAAGTAACAACAGAAGAATTAGATAGCATTCAATAAAAGGGGGGGAAGCCAGGAAAAGGAAGAGGATGCCCAACAAAAGCCTTTCTCGAAATAGACTTCCTGTTTCTGCCTCCGAAACCCAAGTGTACGCGTTAACCTCTTATCTGGCTTTTCCCAGAGAAGGAGGGCAAAAGCCACAGTCCACACTCATGGCCGTGGAATGTCAAATAGATTTGGAAATTACTTTCGTTTCACGCTGGTTGCATTTCAAAGTCCCTTTTGCACACCATATATATATATATATATATATAGAGAGAGAGAGAGAGAGAGAGAGAGACATATATGTGTGTATACGTCTTCACAAATGGTCCCTCCCTCAATGTATTATATGTCAATGTGACTATACATTCAATATATTGTAAATATTACTAGTTTTAGTGTCACAAAATCATATACAATATATATGCGTCACATATATACATATGTGTGTATATATTGCAGCTATACATTAAATATATTGTTATAGTGTCACAAGGGGTCCCCCTAAATTAAAGAAATAGATATATATATATATATATATACACACATACAAAATCATATACAATATATATGCGTCACATACATATGTGTGTATATATTGCAGCTATACATTAAATATATTGTTATAGTGTCACAAGGGGTCCCCCTAAATTAAAGAAATATATATATATATATATATATACACACATACAAAATCATATACAATATATATGCGTCACATACATACATACATTAAATATATTGTAAATAGTACTAGTTATAGTGTCACAAAGGGTCCCCCTAAATTAAGAATATATATGTGTGTGTGTGTGTGTATACACACACACAAAATCATATACAATATATATGCGTCACATACATATGTGTGTATATATTGCAGCTATACATTAAATATATTGTTATAGTGTCACAAGGGGTCCCCCTAAATTAAAGAAATATATATATATACACACATACAAAATTATATACAATATATATGCGTCACATACATACATACATTAAGTATATTGTAAATAGTACTAGTTATAGTGTCACAAAGGGTCCCCCTAAATTAAGAATATATATGTGTGTGTGTGTATACACACACACAAAATCATATGCAATATATATGCGTCACATACATATGTGTGTATATATTGCAGCTAAAAATTAAATATATTGTAAATATTACTAGTTATACTGTCACAAGGGGTCCCCCTAAATTAAGGAAATATATATAAACATACACATACAAAATCATATACAATATATATCAATCACATACATACATACATACATTAAATATATTGCAGCTATACATTAAATATATTGTAAATAGTACTAGTTTTAGTGTCACAAAGGGCCCCCCTAAAATAAGGAAATATATATATATACACACACACACACAATCATATACAATATATATATATGTGTCACATACATATGTGTGTATATATTGCAGCTAAAAATTAAATATATTGTAAATATTACTAGTTATACTGTCACAAGGGGTCCCCCTAAATTAAGGAAATATATATAAACATACACATACAAAATCATATACAATATATATCAATCACATACATACATACATACATTAAATATATTGCAGCTATACATTAAATATATTGTAAATAGTACTAGTTTTAGTGTCACAAAGGGCCCCCCTAAAATAAGGAAATATATATATATATACACACACACACACACAATCATATACAATATATATATATGTGTCACATACATATGTGCGTATATATTGCAGCTATACATTAAATACATTTTAAATAGTGCTCGTTTTAATGCCACACATGGTCTCTCCCTATATACATCTCAAATGTGGGCATGTATATTTAGATAGCAATAGATTTAATGTCACAAATGGTTTCTTCTTAAATTAAGAGTGTGTGTGTGTGTGTGTGTGTGTATGTATATGCTCTGTTCGATTTGAATGCAGGGGGGGAGAACATCCTGGAGGAGCTCCAACCTGGGGGGGGGGGCGCTCCACGAGTTTCCTGTGCACCCCCCCCCCCCCCCCAATATGTCACAGGAAACCCACTCTGTTTCCATTGTGATCTGACAATGCCCTTCCTGGGGTCATTTCCTTCTCCACAAAGGCCAGGAGAGGAAGGGCATCCCGCCCCGTGCCCGCCTGCCCCGTGAATCAGTCCGCCAACCTGTTCCTCTCCCCCATAACAACACCCCAAAGGAATGAGGAAGGAGAGCGGCTTCCGGGAGTGAGTCAGGAACCCTCCCCAGCCTCTCTGTGTGTCTTATCTCTATACAGGTAGAGGCACGTCGGAATACATAGGTACACATACAGATATATATACGGTACAGCTCACATATATACACTATATATATACACACACATGTATATGCACATATATATATACGTACACTATATGTATACATACATACGGCTCACATATATACACTATATACATACACACATTCACACACATGTATATGCACAGATAATATATATATATGTACACTATATATATACATACATACACACAGCTCACATATATACACTATACATATACACACACACATTCACACATACACATGCATATGCACAGATAATATATGTAGACATACACTATGTATATACATACACAGCTCACATATATATATATATACACACATACAGCTCACATATATACACTATATATATATATATGCACAGATATTATATATATATATATATATGCATACACTATATATATATATACATACACACAGCTCACATATATACACTATATATATATATGCACAGATAATATATATAGACATACACTATAGATATACATACACAAAGCTCACATATATACACTATATATACACACACACATTCACACACACATGTATATGCACAGATAATATATATAGACATACACTATATATATACATACACAAAGCTCACATATATACACTATATATACACACACACATGTATATGCACAGATTATATATATATATATATATGTACACTATATATATACATACACCCAGCTCACAAATATACAGTGTGTATATATATATATATATATATATATATATATATATATATATACACACACACACACACACACACACACACAGATTCACACACATATGCATATGAAGAAGAGAAGGCTGAGAGGAGATATGATAGCCATGTATAAATATGAGAGGAAGCCACAGGGAGGAGGAGGGAGCAAGCTTCCTTTCTGCTTCCCTGGAGACTCGGACGCAATGGAGCAATGGCTTCAAACTACAAGAGAGGAGATTCCATCTGAACATGAGGAAGAACTTCCTGACTGTGAGAGCCGTTCAGCAGTGGAACTCTCTGCCCAGAGTGTGGTGGAGGCTTCTTCTTTGGAAGCTTTTGAACAGAGGCTGGATGGCCATCTGTCAGGGGTGATTTGAATGCAATATTCCTGCTTCTTGGCAGAATGGGGTTGGACTGGATGATGGCCCAGGAGGTCTCTTCCAACTCTTTGATTCTATGATTCTATGATATGTGTGTGTGTGTACATTATATATATGTGTGTGTGTGTGTGTGTATACACACATACATACACACACCCAGAGAGAGAAAGAGAGATACACTCACAGATGTGTATGTGTGTGTGTGTGTGTGTGAACACATATGTCCTATATATGTGTCTACAAAGAGAGAGAGAAAGAGATAAACACACCCGCAGGTACTGTATGTATATAAACACAGATATATATAGATATATGTGCACAGAGATGTCACGGATGAGCAGGGCCTTTCTGCCCTTTCCAAGGGTGTTGCCAATGTCCCTCTCTCTCTCTCTCTCTCTTCCGCAGTGACCGCTGTCCTGAGCCAGACCACCACCATCGAGGTGCCCGAGAACAGCGGTAAGTCCCTTCTTTGGAACCGGCATTTCATCAGGTCTTACCTCTTGGTTTTGATGCTATTCAGGTCCACTTCGAGATACATTATTATTATTATTATTATTATTATTATTATTATTATTATTATATAATCAATAGATCAGTGGTTCTCAACCTTCCTAACGCCATGACCCCTTAATACAGTTCCTCAGGTTGTGGTGACCCCCCAACCATAAAATTATTTTTGTTGCTACTTCATAACTATCATTTTGCTACTGTTATGAATCAAAATGATTTGCAGGATGTATTCACTGGACCAAATTTGGCACAAATACCCAACACGCCCGAATTTGAATAATGGTGGGGTGGGAGTTTGGGGGACGATTTTGTCATTTGGGAGTTGTAGTTGCTGGGGTGTTTATAGTTCACCTACAATAAAGAGCATTCAGAACTTCACCAATGATGGAATTGAACCAAATTTGGCACACAGAGCTCCCATGATCAATAGAAAATACTGGAAGGGTTTGGTGGGCATTGACCTTGAGAGTTGTAGTTCACCTACATCCAGAGAGCACTGTGGACTCAAACAATGATGGATCTGGACCAAACTTGGCATAAGTACTCAATATACCCAAATGTGAACACTGGTGGAATTTGCGGAAAATAGACCTTGATTCCCCCAGGCACTTCCAAGCCATTAAATGCTAATTAAGGTGATCAGTTGAAACATTCCCACCTAGCTCCAGCAGACAAAAGTCCTTTGTCCCACCGTGGTCCTTCCACAGAGATATAAACCCACTTTCCTAGTTCCAACAGACCTCACTACGTCTGAGGATGCTTGCCATAGATGCAGGCGAAACGTCAGGAGAGAATGCCTCTAGAACATGGCCATATAGCCCGGAAAAACCTACAGCAGTCCATTCACACCTGGCTCCAGCAGACAAAAGTCCTTTGTCCCACCGTGGTCATTCCACAGATATATAAACCCACTTTCCTAATTCCAACAGACCTCACTACGTCTGAGGATGCTTGCCATAGATGCAGGCGAAACGTCAGGAGAGAATGCCTCTAGAACATGGCCATATAGCCCAAAAAACCTACAGCTGAAACATTCACACCTAGCTTCAGCAGACAGCTCTTTGCCCCACCCCAGTCATTCCACAGATATATAAACCCATTTTCCTAATTCCAACAGACCTCACTACGTCTGAGGATGCTTGCCATAGATGCAGGCGAAACGTCAGGAGAGAATGCCTCTAGAACATGGCCATATAGCCCGGAAAACCTACAACAACCCATTCACACCTGGCTCCAGCAGACAAAAGTCCTTTGTCCCACCGTGGTCATTCCACAGATATATAAACCCACTTTCCTAATTCCAACAGACCTCACTACGTCTGAGGATGCTTGCCATAGATGCAGGCGAAACGTCAGGAGAGAATGCCTCTAGAACATGGCCATATAGCCCAAAAAACCTACAACAACCCATTCACACCTGGCTCCAGCAGACAAAAGTCCTTTGTCCCACCGTGGTCATTCCACAGATATATAAACCCACTTTCCTAGTTCCAACAGACCTCACTACCTCTGAGGATGCTTGCCATAGATGCAGGCGAAACGTCAGGAGAAAATGCCTCTAGAACATGGCCATATAGCCCGGAAAAACCTACAACAACCCATTCACACCTGGCTCCAGCAGACAAAAGTCCTTTGTCCCACCGTGGTCATTCCACAGATATATAAACCCACTTTCCTAATTCCAACAGACCTCACTACGTCTGAGGATGCTTGCCATAGATGCAGGCGAAACGTCAGGAGAGAATGCCTCTAGAACATGGCCATATAGCCCAAAAAACCTACAACAACCCATTCACACCTGGCTCCAGCAGACAAAAGTCCTTTGTCCCACCGTGGTCATTCCACAGATATATAAACCCACTTTCCTAATTCCAACAGACCTCACTACGTCTGAGGATGCTTGCCATAGATGCAGGCGAAACGTCAGGAGAGAATGCCTCTAGAACATGGCCATATAGCCCAAAAAACCTACAACAACCCATTCACACCTGGCTCCAGCAGACAAAAGTCCTTTGTCCCACCGTGGTCATTCCACAGATATATAAACCCACTTTCCTAGTTCCAACAGACCTCACTACGTCTGAGGATGCTTGCCATAGATGCAGGCGAAACGTCAGGAGAGAATGCCTCTAGAACATGGCCATATAGCCCAAAAAACCTACAACAACCCATTCACACCTGGCTCCAGCAGACAAAAGTCCTTTGTCCCACCGTGGTCATTCCACAGATATATAAACCCACTTTCCTAATTCCAACAGACCTCACTACGTCTGAGGATGCTTGCCATAGATGCAGGCGAAACGTCAGGAGAGAATGCCTCTAGAACATGGCCATATAGCCCAAAAAACCTACAACAACCCATTCACACCTGGCTCCAGCAGACAAAAGTCCTTTGTCCCACCCTGGTCATTCCACAGATATATAAACCCGATTTTCCTAGTTCCAACAGACCTCACTACGTCTGAGGATGCTTGCCATAGATGCAGGCGAAACGTCAGGAGAGAATGCCTCTAGAACATGGCCATATAGCCTAAAAAAACCTAACAACCCATTCACACCTAGCTCCAGCAGACAAGAGTTCTTTGTCCCACCCTGGTCATTCCACAGATATATAAACCCACTTTCCTAGTTCCAACAGACCTCACTACCTCTGAGGATGCTTGCCATAGATGCAGGCGAAACGTCAGGAGAGAATGCCTCTAGAACATGGCCATATAGCCCAAAAAACCTACAACAACCCATTCACACCTGGCTCCAGCAGACAAAAGTCCTTTGTCCCACCGTGGTCATTCCACAGATATATAAACCCACTTTCCTAATTCCAACAGACCTCACTACGTCTGAGGATGCTTGCCATAGATGCAGGCGAAACGTCAGGAGAGAATGCCTCTAGAACATGGCCATATAGCCCGGAAAAACCTACAACAACCCATTCACACCTGGCTCCAGCAGACAAAAGTCCTTTGTCCCACCGTGGTCATTCCACAGATATATAAACCCACTTTCCTAATTCCAACAGACCTCACTACGTCTGAGGATGCTTGCCATAGATGCAGGCGAAACGTCAGGAGAGAATGCCTCTAGAA